AGAGAGAGAGAGAGAGAGAGAGAGAGAGAGAGAGAGAGAGAGAGAGAGAGAGAGAGAGAGAGAGAGAGTTGTTGTGTGCCGCGGCGTAGCCGTGGCGGGTCCACTTGTTTTTTTAAAAAAAGCATGTTTTCATTGCATGAGCAAAAGGAGGCGGGGAATCCCTCCACATCTCAACCCGAAATAGTGGGGCAATACCCAATTTGGGCTCAGACTGGAAAACGGGTCAAGTGTTCCGTGCTTCGAAAGCCTTACATACTAATCCGGAACGAAATGTAGAAACTGGACTAACTAAATTACAAAAACAGCACGAAGAGGAAAAAATCAAAAATCCCTAAAAGGACAGGAAGTAACTACTCGTAAAATATCCCTTTTTTTTCTTAAACCCTAGCTCTTCTGCGCGTTCTATGCTGCGTTTATGTCCGCCGTACTGTCCTGTGAGCGCACTATTCCTAATGGGGTGAAGTCCATTGCGTGGTCTTCCTTGTTGTTCTTCATGCGGCTTCCATACCAGTCTCGGAGGAGCGCCTTCTATGGTGCCGAGCTTACCTGTTCCGAGCTGGTCTTGGCTGAATTTGTCTACGATTGCTTGTTTTTTTGCGGGGTCTTCTTTAATGTTCTTGGTTGCCTGGTGCCAGTCCGCCTGGTACTCCGTCCGTAAGAATTGCAGTAAGTGTACCCGCTTGGTGTGTTCTGGACGGCTATCGTTTCTTTGCATCGTGTCTTCCATATGATCCACAGTGTTAGGGGGCGAAGTCTTCGGAAGAGGGTTGAATGCCAAGCTTCTTGAGGGCATGGTTGTGCCAGGCCCGTAAGCCGTGTCAGCAGGTTATCAGGCAGTGGTGTGCCGGTAATCGAAGACCAGAGCGCTTGCATTCTGGCCCAAAGCCTTTGAGCGTTCAGGCAGTGCGGCACATCCTCGAGGGTCCCGGCGTCGCAAACTGCATAGCTGTACATCTCGTTATTCTTATTCCGCTTGCGCCACGTTTTGCCGAACTGCATTGGATTCGAAAAGGTCACTGGGGACTTGCGTGTTTCATTCAATAGGATGGAACACTCGCATCCTTCTGCACCAAGGATTGTGAACAGTGGCTCCCTCCAAATCGTTTACTGGTATTGGCCTTTGAGCCAACCCAATCCAATGGCGGCTTCAAAGGGACGCTCATCCATGATGTGGTAGTTAAGCCCGTAGGTGACTGGGCACACCTTTGACCAGATGTGTGTATATGACAACCGCTTGGTTGCCAACCTCCATCCGGAAGGGTTTCTGCAATTCTACTGCATTCATCCCCAGAGTTGACTTACAAATTCCGTGAGGAGAGAAAAATTAACAGCTGCGCAGCAATCAATCAAATTGCGGACAAGATGCAAGAGCTCGTTGAAGACCAAGCATGAGTAAGCCAAGTTGAAAGCAAAATAATAATGCAGAGAGCATATCAAAGTTGATCAAACCAAAAACACACTGAACACTGAAGTCTCGTGCTAATGAAAGCCCTCTTCGCGTCCCCAATAATCAGTACAACAACATAGTAGCCCTAACTATGATGTGTCCCCCTACACTTCTCTCCTACTCAGCCTACACACAGTAGTCGACTACCTCTCACACTCTCCACTCTCCTCTTACCAGATGTTGCTAAAGAGGCTGATCACACAGGTGCTCCTTAGCCACACACAAGGTAAGTATCCACCAGTCCACACTGCCAATTTCCTTCCCTGACCAACACCGACCATGCCCCACCTTCTCCCTGTGCAGCGCTGGGATCGTTGGCGGCCACTGCAATGCTGGCTTCCTCCTTCTGCAGGTGCTGGCTGCAAGCGCTATCTCAGCGCTGCTGCATGATATTGGCCACTACCCAATGTCCATATGCCCTCAGCCTCCTTGGTTTCGTCTCTTCTACACAAGCGGTTAACGGGTAGCTGAAAATTCAGGAATGAAAATTTTGACGTGAGAGTTTTGGGCAGTCTAAAAATCCCGAATGGTCCTGAAGTGGTGAAAGGTCTGAAGACCCTGAAAACCACCTGTTTAGGCAGGCTGCATCCTGAAGTGGTGAAGTGAGAGTTTTGGGCAGTTTGAAAATCCTGAATGGTCCTGAAGTGGTGAAAGGTCCGAAGACCCTGAAAACCACCTGTTTAGGCAGGCTGCATCTTGAAGTGGTGAAAGGTCCGAAGACCCTGAAAACCACCTGTTTAGGCAGGCTGCATCCTGAAGTGGTGAAGGATGTCTTGAAGTGGTGATGAAAATTACGACTGTTGTTAATGTTAACCTTCTCTCAGGCAGGGGTGAGGGGGAGGTCCATCCTTCCATATTGGAAGTAATCAATGGTGCCCACTCGGGTCTTGCAACCATAAAACGGAAAAGCATCGGAGTGCGTTCATAATGTATTCTTGACTTGGAGGCGGATGCTCCCCAGAATGGACATGGAGCCAAAATCGTACGGTTCTCTGTGTGCTTCTCTTTTTTTTTTTAATAAACAAACGATGGTATGGAGTACTACCGGCCTGAATCTGGGTAGGTATCAGGCAAACACACTCCTACCAGGTAGGATAGTAGTTGATAATGATGGTGATGGTATGAAAGAGGGACCAGTGGACTGGAGGAGAGGCCGGGTAGGGCGTAGAGCTGCCGGGTAGGGAGTGCTGCTTGCCGCTGGACTTACTGATCCAGCGGGTGTATCACCTGCTGAGTGGTACAGTTGCTCGCTTTTGGCTGCTGCATCATTATTCCATCTGAGGTGAGAGAGGAATGACTGTGAGTCTCAAGGAGGTCTAGAAGGTGAACAAGAGGCCTCCATGGCTATGGAGGTGAGAGAGGAGGAACCAGTAGGGTTGTCTATGAGAAAGGGTTGGCGAGCGCATATTGGGCTATGGTAGCAAGTAGATTGACATCAGTAGGTGTAGTACAAGAGGGAGGGAACGGAGATGAAGACTTACCTCTGGCTGTGGTGAATAACCATCTTCACTCCCATGGCACTGGTTCAAGAAGGCACTTTCAGGGTGCCGGTGGACAGGTACTCTATCCTAGAGAGTGGCATTGCTGACACACGGCAGCATGGAGTAATTGTGTTCTCTTCTGTACTTGGCGCTTGAGTAGCAGGATGACTTGCAACTCACAGTAGTGCTAAATAGAGGAAAGAAGCATAGAAGATGAGCTGAAGAGGGTTCCTTCTCCATGGAATTGGAGCAAATAATTCATCAGACAAATATCATTTGTTCATTCATTCATTCTTTGATTACAAGTAATAAAGAGGAGGAGGACAGTTCCAGGGTGATGATGAGGTGGTGAGGCAGAGGATGGAGATGACATTGGAATATATTTGTGTTCTCTTCGTCCCCCCCTGCTTACTCTTCTCACACACTCTAATTTCCCTTTAAATCCTCATTTCTATACTTGCAATTCATGTGCTTGTCTCAGACTTGACTTTTGCTTCATGATTGAACTGAGATCACCTCCCTGACTTGTCCGCTTCTGTTTCCCTCCCTCTCTCGTTCCTCCTTTCCCCCACCATTCTAACATCTCGACATTCTTCTTCCACTTCCCCCCTTCCTCCTCGCTTACATCCTCTACCCACATGGACTCTCAACAACAGCAGCTCCCTCTGCTTTGGGTGCAACCGTGTGGACTTGGGCCTATAGCAGGCCACTCTACTCTGGTCACATTACAGCTAACCTCTGGTGCTTGTGAAAAACGAGTCAGACATTGTTTATCATTGGTGTTTTTTTTTTTCCCTGTTTGTTTGTTCGCCTTTCCTTTTTTTTTTTTTGTCCCCACGTGGGCTTTATATGGCCATGACTGGGGATTTTTGTGAGTCCATGTTGAAGCTTGTCATCAGGAGACTTTGTGGGTGGGCTGCGAGGGTCAACGGTGTGGGTGAGACTCCAACGGGCTGACCTTTTCGGAGCACACAGGTAAGAGAGGCCAAGATGCTTTAGTCAATAGGGCTCCTGGTGTCACATGATGGTTTCATGGCTCTGGCTGGGACACGGGCCCACATTTTCCTCATCTGAGCACTTGCTTGGCATTGTGTGACAGTATTTGTGGTCAGCCTACCGGTAGGACAGTTTGCGCTGTGCTTGAAATTCCCTACACGATGCTTTCAAGACAGGCTAAAACAACCAGGTTTGTACCAAACCTCTCAAGACCCACGGACTGCATGGAATTGCAGACATGGACAAATCCACACACCAACTCAGAGACTCAGACTCGTTTCGGCAAAGCAATCAGACATCCCAGGCTTATATCTGTGGGTCATTGCATCATTGTTGAGCTATTGGTTGAGGGGGGGGGAAGGTGGATTGTTTCACAAACCTCAGGTTTTTCAAGGTAATGGACAAGTACGATTCTCTCCTCCCTGGGCACGTGCAGAAGGCAGACAAGAGTGAAGCACCAATGGAAACTTAACACGTTAGATGCTTTACGCAACCGGGGAGTTCGAACATCATGTGCACATTCAGGACAGACAAGTAGACAGAACACAGGATAGCAGCTCATTTGGTAAGGTTCAAACTCGGGATTCTTCCTCACCATTAACATGCGTACAAAAACACGTAAATCCAGGTTACATCTGTAAACGAACAACACAAACAAGAAATAGTACAGTGCTAATTATCCAGTAGTCCAGAAATTCAGGAGGGCATGGAGTGCTGGAATAGGAACCGGACTAACGCTCCCCAGAATGGAAAAGGAGCCAGAACCGTAAGGTTCCGTCTCTTTTTTTTTCCTTTTAAGGAGGGAATGGAGTGCAATCAGAAGACTGTCTGTGTGTGGTCTCGGGGGCTCCTTTCTGGCAAGCACTAACAAGAAGCCCTGGCCTACTCAACGAAAGGCCCCTTTGCAATACAGTTTCAATTTTCAAATATTACGCAAATTCCACACTTATCTGATTATCACCTGCCCTTTTTTCAACCCCTTGCATCCAGTCTAATGGTGGGGAGCTGCACCTGCTGGAAACCAAGTACAGCATCCCATAGGGTTTAGGGCTCTGTGCTTAGCATTACAGGGGGCAGTGGCGCTTTGCCCGCATAAAAAAGAAGTGATGGTCTATGATGCAATGATTGGGAGAGGGCGCAGTAGGGTGGGCGTGGGAAAGAAAAATAGAAGAGCAAAGTTCAATGTGATGTCTCAGGGCAGTGCTGCACGGTTTGAGAACGTGATTTGATGTGCATTCGAGAATAATGGTCAAGTAAGAACAGAGGAATAAGGAACCATGGTTGCAACATGGGAAAAAATCTGGAAAGACAAACAGAGTGCCAGGCAGATAGATAGATAGATAGATAGATAGATAGATAGATAGATAGATAGATAGATAGATAGATAGATATTGTCACATCACTACAAACTAAAAGAGCGCACTTTGCGGAACAAAGAATAAAAGCAAAAAACGGGCACAGTGATGACATGCAAAAATAAAAAGAAAAAGAAAAAACAAGGGCAGATTGAAACCATTAAATTTCTCATTCTTCTTTGAACTCCACCTCCA